TCTGGCCGTGCTATGAATGTTCCTAAAGGAACAAAGATACCAACTGTGTTTATCACCAATGGTTTTGAAGAAGGTCTTACTGGTAGATGTATTTTCTTTTTGAGAACTAACATCAACATTCCAATTACAATGAGAAACTTGCATGAGGTATGTAGTAGGCAAATGTATCTCACAAAATGTAACTGGTTACATGTAGATCTCACAATACACAATCTTTATTAACAATTTAGCAACCCATTGCTAATTACACGACATACATGTGGGTCAGACACTATCTTAGCCTGCCATTATGAGCTAAACTTTTACAAATAAAATATAAGAAACACAAAGTGAATAATAACATGTTTTTTTTCCAGATACAGACTTTAGGGTTTCATTCGTCAGAAACTCTTCAAACTGTATATAACCCTAAATGGCTTCATGAAATCATGGAAGTGAGATTACTATTGTGAAATTTATTCAAAAGAATGGAAACAATCATTACACAAATGTAAAAAGGAACATGTCTTCACAGAAGATTTGGTCTGTGCAGGTTTCCCAAAGTCTCTTACAGTGAACAGCTGCAAACAAATGTTGTCAGATTGTTGTAACTGTAGAATGATCATAGTAAAAACTCAATGCAGCAAAGATGATATGAGCATTACTTGAGGTTTCCCAGTCTACTCGTATATGTTTTGTGATTGGTTTGATGTTATTATTTGTATGTCACTGCAATCTATAATCGGTACCTGGATGACATGGGTAGTACTTTACTCAATTACAGTTTTCATTTTACTCAAAAGAATTTGCATCATGATTTTTTGTTGCAGGAAATATTCTATGGTTGCATAGAATTGCCTAGTGGTAGTGCATGTATCTTAGAAGCAATCAAAAAAACCATGACACTGATATACAAACCATCTATTAATGCTATTGATAACTGGGGTGAAATGACTGAGACACCACAGGGTAAGAAGATGCGAAGATCATTCATAGAATCATTTGATGGATTTATTCAGTTTCTTGATGGTAAGTCATATTTAGTACCCAGTTTAGTTATTTAACTTAGATTTAACGCATCAGGGCTGTATGAGGGACAAGGTATGGGAAATGAACACACAGTGAACACACGATATTGCCAGTAAATAAGTGGGGGGGGGGGGGGTATTCGCCCTCACGTGCAGGCGTCGTAGCGGCCGACCCCATGATGCAACTCGCAGATTTGAGTTGCACCATGACATGGACAACGTGGTACCTGAGTGTGAACGGTCTCTACAGCAACCCTGCCAGTGGGCGTTGAGGGGGCTGTTGTCACAGTACGAGTCACAATGTAGACTCGCACTGTGGCAAGAGCACCGCAGTAAAATACCCAAGCAAGGCTGAGGCCGCTGCAGTGACAACCCCCAAATTACGAGTGGTGCAATATCGCAGTCATCGTCGAACGAACGTGGATGTGTACCTGCAAGTAAAAAACATGTGGTAATGATAAAGCGACTGAGGTACATTAACATAATGTATCTTCGAGCACAGCCAATTCAGCCGGAATCGTGGTCAAACATGACCTGTACAGTGATAAGCGAGTTGTGCATAACTCAAGTTAAAATACGAGGTCAAACAAATACAGTCAAGTACTAACGT